ATATTATTAGATATTATCTATATGTAAAGGGTATTGCCATATCAATGTATTTTTCTTTGTTTTTTGTTTGTTTTTTTGGCAATACTTGCCAAGGCCGGGGGCATGTTTACGCTTGGCTCATATATTATAAATTATCTGTTTAACAAGTGCATAATATTTACAAGTAAAAGCAATTACCAAGAAAAGGGAGAATCAATTCTGCTACGACATCTGGAAGATATTAGCCATCAAGTGGCTGCAACGCCCTCCCCTTTTTGGGATTTTATACCTAGATTTTAGTATTTTAACATTAAGATTTTAAACTTAGTCATATACACAACCATGTTAAAATAAAGTTTTGTTTTTTGTTAAACCATCTTTTAATCGCGCAACATACTCAACATACTCAACGCAACGAACAAAATGTAAGGTCGACAGATATATTTATATATACGAGGGGCGACTATAATGACCTTTAAAATCGGAGAAAAGTGAGGTTATAATAAATTTTATTATCAATGAAAATTACTTAATTGGAGGAGAAAAAACATAGTACCTATTACACAAAATTGTGAGAAATCAATGAAAATCCATCCATCTTTAAAATACAAAAATAATATGGAGAATATTTGTTTAGTTGTTTTGCATGGCACATAGACTATTTTTAAATGATAATTTATTATTTGACCAAATTGGATCCAAACCCTTTGCTTTAACTATAATTATAATTACACTAATTACACTAATAATTATTAGTGTAATTATTTACCATTTGTTTTTAAATAAAAAGGCCGCTTTCTTTGCTCATGGTTTTGGATAATATTTTCCTAAAAAAGGGTCCTACTAAATTTTACCATAAATTTTGTTTCGCTGAAAAAGTTTGAAAATCTTGAAAATTTCTATAAATTCAACTTTTACCTTGAATACCTTTTAAAAAAGCCCTACCAAAATTTGTTTTAGTTTTATTGGTCCACTAATCCGTTAACGAGTTATACAATTTTAAAGTATTTTTAAAAATCTCATATTATTTTAATGGGAAATAAAAATTCTCGATGAGGGACCTGTAAATGTAATATTAAGAGCTTATATTTTCACAGGACCATTTTTTTAAGATTCTTCACAATATTTTTGAGGTACTTTAAAAATAAATAATAATAAATAAATAATATTTGATTTTTTTGTATACTTAACTCTAATAATTAAATAATATTTTAATAAAAATAAACACAAATAAAAATACACATTAATCTACACATATAAAAGAGCAATAAATAAATATGAAGAAATATATAATATATATTTTATAGTTTTATAATATTTATATAATATATATTTTATAGTTTTATACCTATTTATGTTTATATGATTTATAGTTTTTATATGTATGTTATAGTTTTATAGGTATGTTAACTTTTACATTATAATTATATTAAACATTTTTTGATAAATCCTAGTATATTTAATTTAAAAATATACCAAAAATAAAAATTTTAAATATATGTTTTTAATTTTAACACATAAAAGTGCAACAAATAATAAAATGTGTTTTTTACTCCTTTGATGTAGAATAGTGTATTGAATCATTGCTAGTTCTGAAAAATGTAAAGTAAGTTTTAAAAAAGTACGACTTGATAATATTATTTATAGCCTAAAAAGTGGTTATTAAAAGTTTTTTCATAGAATACATGTTTATAAAACTATACAAAAATATATCAAAAAATTAACGATTTAATAAATATACAGTTAAATATGTAATATACCCAAAATAATTAATTCAATACGAGCAGGTAGTAAATTCTAAATATAGACATATTTTTAAATCATTTTTAAGAGGCAGATGTTGACTATTTCCGAACGCCTCCGAACAATTACAATGGAGCATTCAAATGGACATTACTTCTTTCCGTAACTGTACGTCACATTCGTCAATCTAAACTAGATATTTCACTTGCTGATGTATTATTTAAGGGTCCGAGGATGGAGCAGTGGGTTAGGCTACAAAGCTGTGCAATCTGCGTCTAACGGTACCGGGTTCGATTCCCGGTCACAGCCCTGGGTTTTGTGATTGTTTATTAAGACAAAAATACATATAATGTGCTGGCTAAATAGGCTGAAAAAGCCTAAAAGCCAATAAAACTTAAAAAAAAAATGTATTATTTAATGACATTATTGTGTTTAATTAGTAATTATTATTAGATTTAATGTTATTATTATTTTATAAGCAGAGAGTATTATTATTATATTTATATACAGTGTGTATTAAAACGAATAGATACACTTAAATAAAACATGTGCCAAACCCCGCCCCCTGTGGTAGGGATTGAATTCGTTTGCTTGCCGTATCATTGTCGTTACGACAAAAGTCGTATCATTGTCATATCATTGTCGTTACGACGAAAAGTCTCAGTGCACTTCTTAAACTGACGCACAGATAATACGACAATGTCGTATTATCTGTGCGTCAGTTTAAGAAGTGCACTGAGACTTTTCGAACGTCTAAAAAAGTATTTTCCCAAATAAAATGGTTTTTACCCGTGAGGAAAAATACCACATTATGGTATGGCATCACACTGGTAGATCGTATCGCCAAATACATATAACAAATACAAACTTTATTTCAAAATATGTTTCAAAATAGGCCTTTACCCAGTGTAACTACAATCCGGCTGCATGCCGCGCTGTTGCCATATATACAAAAAAAATTATAATCATTCTTTTCTGATTTAAAACAACCTGGCAACTATGGTTCGTAATTACGAATGGCTTGGTTTAAACCACGCCCAATTAAAGTTTGTTTCTTTTTCTCTGATCAGAATATAATTTGTCATCCTTGTCTCCAGCCTTACTTACTTTATTCTATACAGTCTGGATAAATAAACAATAATAAATTTAAATATCTTACTGAAAGATTCTTACATTTATATGTATTATAAATCTACGAAAGATACTTCAGCTTTCCAAAAAAATGGATAATAGCTTGCCGTAGAAAAGATACAATAAATTTGAAAAATGGTAAGTTTGAAACTTATTCTGAATTTCGTATATGTAGTTAACAACTAAGATTATAAGGTTATACCTATAAAAAATTAAATCTTTTTTAAAATTTAGTTTTTGGAGATTATGTGCTTCAAAAACCAGATTTTGAAAAAATATACAGGGTATTCCAAATAAAACGGGTGAATGTGGACACGTGAATTTTTATTTCTATGTGGAAGAATTTTAATGTACTATTTAGGCCCCCACCCGCACCCCTATGCGCTCCACGCCGCCAGTCGCCAAAAAAAATCTATAAATTGGATGGTCTTTTAATTCTTAAAATAATATAAATTTAAATAAATAAATAAGATTCTGTAATTTTTTCAAAGTGGTTTTAAGAAAAAATAACGGACAATGTTTTTTCGTCAACTTTTATTTTAACAGCTATCATTTAGGCACCTGTCATTTTGGCCGTCGTCATTTCGACATCTGTCATTTTGACAGGACATTCAGGCAGCTTACATTTTGACAGCTTCATTTTGGAACCTGTTTTTTACAGCTGCACTTGTCATTTTAACATGTCATTTAGGCACCTGTCATTTTGACAGTTGCCATTTTGAACAACGTCTGTACTATTGCATGGAAGTTGATTTAATTTTTTTTTTGTTTTTCTATTAATTTTAATATTCAAATAGGAATTTCTTGTAAACTAACTGACAGGTTTTTTGAAAAAAATTACAGAATCTTTTAAGAATTAAAAGACATTTAAAACGATATGTCACTCAACCCCCCGTCCGATTTAAGATTTTGGGGGCGGGCGGGGTGGAGCGCGAAGGGGTGCGGATGGGGGCGTGAATCGTACGTAAAATTTGTCTCCCTGGAAATAAAAATTGATGTGTCCAAGGAATTTTGTCCACATTCACCCGTTAAAACGTTTAGGGGGGTAGAAGTTTTCGTTGGAACACCCTGTGTAGTATATTTTTTAAATGTTTAACACTTAAATTGTTGAAATTAAATTAAAAATTGCAAGAAACTTAATTCTATTAAAATCCGGCGATAAATAACGGAGATAAAAAGGTTTATGTAAAAACAAAAGAAGTTCCATAATTCGAAAACAAGACTAAATAAAGAAAACTGTTCTACAACCTGTATTACGTTGTCAATTTTAAATAAAAACAACCCTGTGTTTATAACTTTTACTTCTATAATTTTTAAAATAATATCCATAACAAAAAACATTATGTAATTAATTTATTTGCGCTGCATATATAGTTTAACAAATACATTGGCACAATGCCAAAATATAAATACTTAAACATACTACCTCAAAACAATTTTCTCTCACAATCGGTTTTAATAAATCGGTCGTCATAATTGTAAATTTAATAAAACCCGAACGCGCTCTCCAAAATTACATTACTTTACATTGGAACAAGAGAGGAACGGAGTGAGAGATACAGCGCTACCATGCGCAATGGCATACCATGTTTTCTTGTATCATGGTATATGGACCATATAATATGGTAGAGCATAGAAATAATACTCTTATTCTATGTGGTAGAGTTTAAAGAAAACCTGAAAAAGAACAAAAAAACGTACGGTTTCTTTCACGCAACATCTCTTAGTTCATTAAAAATCAATAAATAATAGTTCATTAAAAATCAATAAATAATAATTTTAATTTAATTGTCATAGGTAGTTAATAACCAAATGTTTTTGTATTTTTTTAAATTTCGCAAAATGGCGGCCTGTGAAATTATTTTTATGAAATAGGAGGTAAAAATCGCTCGTTATTTTTTTTTTTAGTTGTTTAAAAAAATCTTTGATCAACCTGTATAAATTTAATCTAAATACATCAAGTGGTTTTAAAATAGTGGCCACCATATCAGAAAACGTAGTTTTAAGAAAAACGCGTTTAAGGTTTCACAGATGAATAGTAAAAGGGCCCCACAATTATTGTAGGGTATCTCTAAAACGAGTTTTGAAAATTCAAACTACATACATATAACCCGAGATGTAACCCCTTAATGAATAATTTATTTCAGGTATCTAGTACAGCAGAAATGAGAGATCAGATCTTTGAGCTATCAGAACAGTTACAAGCAGCTCTTTTGGCTTATGATGAAGGTATTCAATCGGACGATGTTGTTTTAGCAGGAGCAATTTGGAGAAGGATTTTTCAACAAAAAAATGTTGATGTTAAAGATGTAGAAAAAATGGTTAAATTTATTAGGAAACAGGTATGCAATAACACTTTAGGAATTTAGTCTTAGCTTCAATAGATCAGGCATAATAAAAATCTAAAAAAACAATTTCTTGGTCGAACTATTTCCGCATAATATACAGGGTATTCAAAAAAAATGGCGTTCTAACACCTTATCACGCGATATTTTAAGTAAAAATTAAAAAAATATATCGCTGGGCGAGCGACAAAGTAAAGAAACGCTTGCTCCTCAGAAAAGTGCAACTTTGCGCTTTCTTTTGGAAGCGCAAATTTTAAAATTTAATACTTTGTTTTTTGTGTTGCTGTTTTGAGCTAAACTTTTTGCATCTCTATGTTTGTTTGTATGTCATTTAACACTAAAAATAGAAGAACTAAAAACTGCGCCAGAATTACCCATTGCTCTTTATAAGAAACCACTTTGTAGAACATTAAATGTTCCATAAAGTTGCTATTTAACCTTTTGGTCTATAATAATAGTTTAGATTAAAAATCTAAAAAACCCGACATTTTTAGTAGTCGACTAAGTATCCTTAGTCCTTAAGTAAGTACAATTTAAACAAGAATAATCACTCATTTATATGCAAAAAATGCCACATAATAATGCAGGGAGAAGAAAACGAAAACAAAACTGTTATTCCTATAAGACATTTTTTCTACTCCCACCTTTTAAAACGCCCTTTATCGTACATGTTTCCATGACACTAAGTGACCTTTTAAATACACATTGACAAGTTGTGGCTTTACGGCGCTTTAGTCACGGGCTGAAGTTAGCAACAGGTTTTTAGTCACGGGCTGAAGTTAGTTTTAAGTTAGTTGACAGTTGTCAAATGTCATACAATCGTTAAAATAAAGTGCCTTTCTTGTAAAATAATACTAAATGTGAAAGTTATTTTATTACCTCAATACAAAAATATTAAATAGTTTCTCAACGCCAATATTTGAAAAGTTTATATGAACATTGTACCGACCTTTTAATTTCGCCGGCAGTAAACTATAACTTAAATTCGGGCACGGACTCTACTGTAAAGTCCTCATAAAACATTTCCTTTACTTTCACTGTGAAAAACTGTCAATTTTCAAGATACATTTCGATTTATAACCTTTATAATTGTGTTTATAAAATGTAAAAATGTGACATTTGACAGTTTCCCCTGTTGTTTCATAGATGGCGCTCTATACAAATTTTTTATTTAAATCATTTTAAGATAATAATAAGTATTTGTCATAGAAAAAGTATAGTATGCACCTCGTTTATAAACTTTTCTATACACTCATTAACTTAAGCACTCGCTCGCAAGCTCGCTCGTGCGTAAATTAAATTCGTGTATAAAATGGCGTTTATCAAACTTGATACATAATATACTATTAAAACTCGATAATGCACCTCTTAAAATTAAAGGGAGGGGATTTGAATTTTTATTTTGACGTTTCATATAGAGTTCTTATGAGATAAAAAATTAATATCGCCTTTTTTTGGAACACCCTAATATATTTATAAATAAAAATTTGATTTAAAAGTATTTAATACTTTTTACTTCATACTGCTTTAATTAATAATAACTTAAGTTATGTTTTACTTAAAATTTATAGCGACATTTTTGAGACACCTGGTATAATAATACTAATAGGAGATTTTTTATTCAAGTGTTTTATTAAAAACCCCTTTATTCATTATAAATATTTTAGATAACTCTTCTTGACAACTACTCTAAGGATCAAATATTCCAGGAAAAAAGAATAAAATGGGAGCCCCTTAAATAGGAATTAAAACACAAATAAATAATTGTAAATATTTTGAGCCTATGTATTTATTGTTATTGTTAAGATAAAATAAAATCCTAGTTAAAAACATTTTTTTTATTTATAGGAAATAAAACACATTTGAGTATGAGTATAAGGAAGGTAAGGCCCCATCAGCAACGCCCTACACTGACCTCCCAGGGTTATTTTACCCCCTTTCAGTTATTCTACTTATCCCGGAATCCCCCTTAACCAGGGATTTACTAATGGCCATTCATTTGAGGTTCATGAATGAGTTTTGGTTGCTTAGTATGCTGCTAGGACCAATCCTTTCTGGTCTTGTAGTCTGCTGAAATTCGAAAACTATTGAGTGCAATTGTTTGCCCACTGTGCGAAAGCCGTTTCTTTAGTGTAGAGGACTATAGATGGATAGTTGTCTTCATTTTGTGGTAGAAATAGTGTTTAAGTTTTCTTTTCTTTTCTAACAATCAGAAATGCAATTAATATTATTTATTCTATATAATTGCTCTAAAGTTTAGAGACTAAACTTTGTTTTTTTTTTTAATTCTCTCATACGGATCGCAGTATGCTATTCCTTGTGTTCGATGCCTAAAATTTAGAGATGTTTAGTTTCTTATGTTTATGTTTAGTTTCGTTCGGTTTAAACTTTTTAATTTTGTTGGGGATGGCCTCTTAAGTTTAAGCTTATTGATGTTTTAAGACGTTTTTACTTATAACTTAAGTTCAGGCCTTTATTTGAAAATAATTTTTCTGAGCCTGTAGAGCGAGAAAAAGGAAGGTAAAAATTTGGATGTTAGGCAAATATCGGAACCGGTTTTTATTTTAGTTTCGTTCGGTTTAAACTTTTTAATTTTGTTGGGGATGGCCTCTTAAGTTTAAGCTTATTAATGTTTTAAGACGTTATATAACTTAAGTTCACGCCTTTAATCGAAAATAATACTTTTCCATCGAACTAGGGTGCTTAAAACAATTTTTTTTTATCAATCACCAACATTTGGGAAGGAAAAAATTATTTTTTTTTTTGAAGCACCCTAGTTTGCATATAATCCGAAAAAAAGTTCCATGGAAAAGTTTTCCAAATTTGTACCTTCCTTTGTCTCGCTCTACAGGCTCAGAATAATTATTTTCGATTAAAAGCGTGAACTTATTAGAAACCGAAAAATACAATCTAAAAAAATTTTTTTTTACGAAAATTTTTGGGTACACCATTTTGCCCCCCCCCCCGCTGCCTTGTTTTGCCCCCTTTCACCTCCCGTCTGCTAATTGTACCATAAAATGAAAAAAACAGAAAATTTGATGTTAATCAAACTTTGACCTCGAATAACTCTAGAAGAAATCAATTTATCGAAAAATAATAAGATACCTTTTTTGTAGATCGTTACATAGGGTGCTTAAAAAAAATTTGTAATTGTTTTTTTTTGCTCTTACCCTCTCAAATGTTTCTATTTAATATCAAAAAAAATCCTCACCAAATATGGGCGTTCCAGCTCAACTCTAAGAGGTCGCTGTTTTTATTTTAGTTTCCCATTTAATTAACATGGGAAAAAATAATTTTATGTTTGGAATTGTATACCTCTGTATCAAAGTAACTTATGGCAATGATCATTGCAGTTTCTTATATAAAATGTAACGATCTACAAAAAAGGTCTCTTATTATTTTTCGATAAATTGATTTCTTCTAGAGTTATTCGAGGTCAAAGTTTGATTAACATCAAATTTCACAAATGATCTCACCAAGAACTCAGGATGAGCTCAGCAATGATTCAGCTAATGAGCTCCAGGTGAGGTTCAGGTGATTTCACAGAAATGCATTTGATGCATAGTGAGTTCAATGTGAGCTCAGGCGATGATTATCACTGAGTGATTTTTTAATGAGTCATAAATGTTATCTGGGTTAATGCATTATGATCATATGATTGGTTTATTTACACTGTTACTGTTTTCAGTAATAATTATTGATTATTGTAAAGTTTTTGTGGCGAAATACGTACGTGTTAGGTCATGCGATTAATTAGTTAGGTCATGCGATTAATTAGTACTTATGATATTTTTGCAGATGATGGCCCCTCCACTCTTGGTTTTACTCGTTTATTCTTTACATAAAGTGATTCATATTGGCCTGGGGTTAGATCTCCAGGTATGCTGTAACTTATAAATTAATTACTTCCGTGTAGGTATGGTCTTTATTCACTATATTCATATTCTATTAACAGGTACACTGATTTTTCTTGTCCAGGTAGTAAATCTTTGCAATAATTTTGCACAGTACTTTCCTTAAACTACACTGTATAAACAATTGATATGTTTTTTTAAGACTTATTAATAATAAGTTATTATTATTAGGTACACTTAAGGGCGATCGAATTCGTTTGAAAGCACGTCTGCTCGTCTACCCGTTTGTATCGGTAATGGAATTTATAGGAAATAAAACACATTTTGAAATTAAATTATTTAATAAAAAATATTTCACTTGGCATACGTTAAAAAACAAACAAATATATAACAACGTGTACAACTTGCTAGGAAGTATATTACAAGTTTGGTCCATAATAGATACAAATAAATATTAATGTCAACATCAAGTCTAGTTAAAATTTAGGTCTAATTAACAAATGTAAAATAAAAAATTGGCAAAATGTGCCATTTAAAAAATACCCTGTGCGAGTTAGTGACAGCAAATTTTGTAGATTGTGCACATATAATATGTAAAATATTGCTAAAAAAAATCTAATCAGTCAGTAAATTTGAAATAAATTTATTTCATGATAAAATTGTAGTAACTGATATGTTTAGTTTATATGACCGTTTTATAACTATAAATAATTTATAGATAATGCAGGTAAATGTTTATTAGGGGTTAATTGCTAATTTGACATCTATTTAATTATTTTAATTTATTATATTGGTTTCATTAGAACAATCCAAATGTTAAAAATTTTAAGTTAAAAATTTTAAGATAAAATTGTTTTTACAAAGTTACACATCTATTTTACTTTACGTTTTCTAACTACACAATTAGCAATCATTTTCAAACATTTCATCAGGATTATTAAAATATAGGATTTTCGCTAAAAAGAAATATGCGTGGCTTTTTTCATGAAAAAGCTCTCAGATTATTTACAGGTTTAGGCCTTAAATCTAAGTGTATAACACAGCACTTTGTGGCAAATTTTGCCTTTTATCACTGATAGTTCAATCATGTTTAGAATTTTTTGATAACAAAATATTGTCATATTATGTTAACAAACGACTGTTTACGTTTAAAACCAATTAAAAGTATGTTTTTTCACAACAATGCTTTTCAAAACTTTCTATCAGAATTATTAATTTGTTTAGCTGGTTTTGTATGAACAATCTTGTTTATCTTCTTGCGTCTGCGGCATTATAAAATATAGTCCATTTTTAGACCCTGTTTACAATCTATCATTAGTTTAATGTTTAATTAAACATTCAGTGTCAGTGATTTTGGGGAGGTACCTAAAGTGTGTACATAAAGTGGGTAACTAAACATAATTACCTCGATAATTACAATTATTTGGCACTGGAATAACTAGTAATTAGTCCTTATCGATAAGTACGCGGCGAATATTTGGCATTTTTTTAAGCTTAAAGTAAAGTAGTCCGATCTCAGGAAACTGCAGACTGTTGATGTCTCGTTTTTTTGCTACCACCAAAACTGAACCACGTTCCCACTTTTCTGCCCAACGAGTTTGAGTTTGAGTTGAGTTGTAGATTTGATCCCATGTAACCAGAATCGTGTTTAAAGTTTCTTCCACCTGGAAAAAAGATTAAATTTTAATATTGGCACACAATGTGTATAGTTTTTAATTTAAAATAATGTAATTATGAAGTAAAAAAATAATTCCATAAGATTTAATAAAAATAGTATGAATTTGTATAAAATCTATAATTTTTGAAAATTACAATTTAAAATTGTATATGCACAAATTTCATTGCATGCGCGCATACATCTGTAAAATTTAGAAGGTATAATATACAGAGCTGGGTTGTATTCAAGTACTTCAAAGAAGAACAGTTTTTTCACCATTATTTCCGTTTCTTTTTTCGACAGTTTAAAACCCTAGTATGAGTTTTAAACATTAATATATTAAGATCTATAGTACTATAGTAAGATCCTCCTCATCGCAATTTCGTTTTTTACATAAGTCACTAACAAACAACATGCGCGCATACATCTGTAAAATTTAGAAGGTATAATATACAGAGCTGGGTTGTATTCAAGTACTTCAAAGAAGAACAGTTTTTTCACCATTATTTCCGTTTCTTTTTTCGACAGTTTAAAACCCTAGTATGAGTTTTAAACATTAATATATTAAGATCTATATACTATAGTAAGATCCTCCTCATCGCAATTTCGTTTTTTACATAAGTCACTAACAAATGAACATAGAGCTAAACCAAATAACCATATGAAATTGAATGCTCTACAAAGATATCTATCTTGGGTAAAAATGTAAGCATTTCAAATATAATCGCAACTTAAGTTCAACTTATACTTATGTATAATCAGGGGAAAAGTTTAAAAAAACTATTAAGAGCTACTAGAATAGATAGGATATACTTTTTATTAAATAAAACCTATTATTATTCATGCACTACTTATTTTAAGATCGCTAAATATTCTGCAAGTTATAAAATTAAAAAAAAAATTTTTCAAGAAATTTTTAAACTTTGACATAAGATATCTTTTGAATGGATATGATTACGAAATATCATAGGACCTTTTTTGTAGAGCATTCAATTCCCTATTAAATATGTATTGGGCTTAGTTTATTTATTAGTGATACTCATACAAAATGTTTTTTAACGGACTAATGTGATCATGGAAAATGGCGATGAGGAGGATCTTAGACTTAAAGGTGTCCTGCAAGCAATATTTCGATATAAAAAGCCAAAAAAAAGAATACTAGATTTTTTGAAACATTATAATTTACTTATGATATGTACTAGAATTTATACATAAAATAACACATTGAGACATTAAAACATCGCATTTTGAGTAATTTGGTAATCTTTCTATTTTTAATGTTATTTATCAACATTTTACATGAACTGGAATGCTATACAATCTATGAAGTAATGCCTTCAACTGTAACGTTCAAAAAAAAATATTAGTCTTAATAAATAAAGTTATCAAGGAGTCTAATTACATTTTGGCTTACTTCTTGGTTTCTTTGGGGGCCTCCGTTGTATCTTTGCCGCCATTCTGGCCAGATGTCTTGCTGACGGTGGAAAGTCGTCCAGGCCGCTGTCTCTGTCCTTGGCGACCAGTTTTCGTTCTTCCGCGAACAGTTGCAGCCAGCGACGCTTATCTTCTGCGGACCGACAGCAAAACAGTAGCCACTTATCGCGCACGCAGCTGTACAGTTTAATGGCGTACCGCACGCTTACCCCACTGTGAATATCTGAAAAATTTAAACACTTTAGGATTGTTGTTTATTGTTTAAAAATTGTTTTTATTACCTTTTCCGTCGTTTACATCAATTACTTCACAGGTATCGAGGCATATTCGACCTTTGTACACGTATGTGCTTCGTTTTAACAAGTCCTGTAACAAATGCTGGTACTTACGATTTTTTCCAGAGGAAGTCTTCAAAAATATAAGACATGCCAAGTTAGTTTTATTAGTAATGTATCAGTATACTTATTGTTTTATCTGCCAAAAGATTAGTTTTCTTTACTTTTATTTTGTCATATGTACATTGTACTAGTGATGCCGATTATTTAAATTAATTCAATTTATTCAAAAAAAAATATTCTTTAAATAATTATATATAATCTTTTAAAAATTTAAAACTTTTTTCAGAGGTACCTAGAAGAATACGTTTTCTTTTTCAGATAAGGAATTTAAAAATACTATTTTGGGCAGTCTACTTCCTAGCAGTATGTTGCAATGTGGATCCATAATGACTAGTCCCGCCGATTATTTAAGTAAAAGAATCGATTCAATAAAATAAATTTAAGCTAAAAATCAATTAAAAACATCGATTGCATTATTCAAAATCGACATCAGTACATTGTACAAACTTATAATTTTTATTAAGAATGTTGTTCTTTAAACATGCCTTTCTAATAATCAAAATACTGCAGATCTTTTTACACATTTTATTCCATAGAATAAATAATAAAAGTGTTTTTTTTATTTTTTGGAAGATATAAATTTGAAATGTCTAAAGGTTTGTTAGAACTTACCTTTTTGCAATATACAATTTGGTGATCAAATAGGAACAATGTTATGTTATTACTCCACATGCCAGATGTAACTTTGGCCACTTCTCCTTGGTAAATTAGTTGGGAACTGGTTTCAATAAGATCCTCGCCCTGGAAAATTATAAATACATAATTAAAATTATAATAATTAATTAAAATTTACACCCATTTTTATTCTATAATTGTATAATATACAACCTTTACAGTGCAAAACAGACCTGAACGTTTCAAACATTATTTTTATATATTATATCAAAGATTAAATGCAATCTCTTAATCTTAAGCTTTGGTTATACGCTCTTATGCCAATAATATTCGAAAACGATCGTCGACGTAATGAATATAAAATCTTTGGTCGAATTATAAAAAGTGAAACTTCTCCCTACTATTTAACATCATACCAAGAAAGGGGTTAGGAAATTGGTTAAATTTGTTAAAATAATTTTTAATAAGCACAAAATATTTATTAAATATTTAATTTTAATATCTTATTTTCCTCTACTTATGCCAATAATATTCGAAAACGACGGGATGAATATAAAATCTTTGGCCGAATTATAAAAAGTGAATCGCCGTTTTTTGTTTTTTTAAATCATGACTTTTGTCCACCCTGATTAAAATTTTATATAAACAATTTATATTAGACTGACTTTGTTTTCATAAAAATAAACGCAATAGTTTTTGAAACTATTGCCAAAGCGGAAAAACATTACGACTTTTTTTTAAATCTTTTCCTTGGTCGTTACTGTTGCAACCAAACACTGCACACCGCATAATTAATAATTTAACGATCTACCTAGATTTCTAAACACTGTAAACAATGATTTAACATCGAACAAATTCAGAAAACAATATAAAACACACAGAAAACAATACACTGGCCCATAGACACTTGCTGTTTACTAACCAAGTGACGTATACCTAGTCGTCGCGGCGAATGTTTGAAATTGCGTCATCAAATTCTGAACCAAGCACAGACATTACAATTGTTTTTGTTTTCTTTTACGTATGTAATCCAAGGAAACGCTAGGTTAGGGCACAATCACTCGGATCTAAGACGAACGTGAGTCCGATGTCACGCTCACGCAACGTATGTTAAACAAGGACAGAGCGCATTAGTTTGTTGTTGGAGAGGTTAGGTTTTTGTGACGTGTTCAGCGCCGTTCCTCATTCACATTTAATATTTGTTCTTGACATTGACATTTGCATATTTCTATAGGCGTTTTTTTGCGTAATTACCACGAAATACTATAGTTAAAAAAGTTATGACGTCACGGTTAATTCGTTAACCACGTCATAGTTAAGATTTTGGAACGTACTCTAAACGCGAAAATACATTAACTATTAACCAAGGTTAAGTTTAATAACCATAGTATTTCATAGTATTTACGCGAAAAAATGCCAAATGCAAAAGTTTTTTTTGCAAAGAATAATGGACGAAGTTCCGGAACTAATCATCCACCTCGGAGATGAAAGTTCCGACGAGAATGATGACTTCATAAATAAATATGTTTTTCCACCTAAATCGTTTCTGTTAATAAATTGTCCCCATGTGGTTACGGTTTACAGTGATCGGTACAGTTGCATACGGGCCTTTGTCATAAGAATTTGTTCCTTAACAATTGTTTAACATTAATACAGGTAAAATCTAAAACCCAGAGGCATTTTATTTAAAAAACCAATGCAAAGTTTACTTACTCGAAATGTCGCTCGATAATCAAGCCACCCACAATACACGCGCGGACCCCTTGAAAATGATACGCTATTGAATACCAAACCTAACATGTCAAGAAATCGGTTTTTGACTTTCGACATAGATGACGCAATTTCAAACATTCGCCGTGACGACTATAGCAATATGGCGTAGACCTGCACAATATATTCGATTCTTAGAATTAAAACTACTTGAAATCTTCCTTTAGATTGTAACTACCCATCTACAGGGTGTCACCTAATAAATTGTCATCCTTTGGGGGATGATAGTACTCGCCAAAACAAGAAAGTTTTTCCTTTATCATTTTTGCATTAGAGATTCTGATATATCATCTCATGTGTTGGTTGTATCATGGGCAAGACAGTGATTGACTGAATGATAATTACCTATCTTTACTTTTAAGCCTAATACAAAGATTTTATGCACAAAACAATATAACTATCCTTAATAATTATCTTAACCCGTAACCGGTACTGTGGTGTCTGGGAGACACTCATCAACGAACAAAGCCCTGTCCCACCCTCACCTTTTGTTTTAAAAATCTGTCACTTCCAATACTTTTAAGTTGACCAGTTATAAATATGCTCTTACACTTTGAACAAGTTGGATTGTCAAACGGACAAATTATTACAAGTCAAAGTGTTGAGGTGTCTAGTAGACCACTGGGTACCGTTTACGTAATTTTTATAAAACAATTAATTCGTTATGGATTCGCAACAAGGGCCTTCTAAAAGTGTCCAAAGTGATAAGAAGGGCTTCAAGGAAACTGTAATGTAGTGGTTTTATGAAATCTACAGCGATATAAGTGATATAGATGACTGTAGTATAGTATACTAAGTATACTACATAACCATTATAGTGATTATGTCGTTGAAGATAATCACAGCAGCGATTTAGGACTTGTCTGTGAAGAGTCTATAGAAAATAATTTTATAGGGTCAGATAGTGAAGAATTTAAAATTTTTTAAAAATTTGAAAAAAAACAAAAAAGTTACTATGGAAAAAATAATTGTAAAAATCAGCTATAGTTTGAAGCAGTTATTTTTGCTGTTAAAAAAATATATATTTGATTTTTTTTTGTTTATGTTATTTTTTAAGGTATATTCTTCAAAATAAAGATCGTTTTATTTTGTTTGGTTTAATATTTTTTATAGTTTAATCACAAAGCTTGCACTACTGCACTTTTTGTACATGTTTTGATTAAAACCTATTTGTTTAAATTTTTCTTTTATTTAGGTATTATTTATGGTGATATTCTAACTTTTTATATAGTTCCTAGTATCCCCAAAGCCTCAGATAAAAAAAATAATATAAATTATAATTTTAAAAGGCAGGTGTCTCTCAGACCCCTCAGTACCGTTTATGACCTGAAAGTCGTACAGTACCGGTTACGGGTTAACTTTTAAGCACAAATAAATATAACTAACCTTTATAAATATTCAATGGAAAATTTGGTTGTTATAAAGAAGGTTGGCATTACGCCGCGCAAGTGCAGATTCATTTTCATGTAACATAATTTAATAAGTTAAAAGTTGGCCAACTTTAACTTGCATTACGTTATATTATATGCTGGCTAAACGCGTCCATAGGGTTATACAGTTTTAAATTTTAAATTAAATTACGTTACATTAAATTAAATGCTCGGTAAATCTACCTTTAGAGGTAAAACCAATGATGATATATAGGATAGGTCAATGACATCCAGTGGCTCCCCTGTTATTAAAAAACAGAATCTCTAATGCAAAAATGATAAAGGAAAAACTTTCTTGTTTTGGCGAGTACTATCATCCCCCAAAGGATGACAATTTATTAGGTGACACCCTGTAGATGGGTAGTTACAATCTAAAGGAAGATTTCAAGTAGTTTTAATTTGAAGAATCGACAATTTAAAGAGATAATTTTGTAAATAATGAAGTAAGCAAAATAGCTAAATTTAAAAAGCAATTTATTTTTTTAGAAATTTGATAAAAAAAACAATCGCCCAATCTAGAAGCACTGCTCACGGACCATCACAGCCATATTATAAAGCGTTCTATAGCAAGTGGTAAATGATTTTGCCCTACCATGCATAAAGAAGTTTCACTTTAAAAATAGGCGAACATAATTTTTTAAAATCGCACAATTTGCAAAAAGCACCCAATCTATGCCAGACTGCTTACGGACCGGCACGGCCATGGATAATAAAGGTCACGGCTCGGCGAGCGTTGCAACGATTTATCACATAACATTATAGAACGTTCCATAGCAAGTCGCATGAGATGATTTTGCCCTAACGTGCGTAAAAAAGTTTTATCTCAAAAAGGTGAGGAACATACATCTATTAGTAGGTATTTTTAAAACGAGTAATGTTTTTCACAACCTTTTATTATGTAGATTAAATCAAGCCCAAGCACGTGTTAAAAAAAAGTATATGCAGATAATTTATAACTTAATCTCCAGAAGCACGAACTTACCTCCCATCCTTCAACGCGGAGTTGCCACGCCGCCAGCTTCTCCAAACTTTCCATTCGTCGTTTTCTCTCGTTGATAAGCATGGCAACGCCGCGCATCACCTCCAAAGCCTCCTTGATGTTTTCGTGATCCTTGTGTTCTATTCTCGTGTATTTCAGCAGCTCCGCCAATTGCAAGGGATACTTGCAAATTCTGCAGAAATAAATTTTTATAAATTCTAAACAGTCGATTTTCGGGTTATAAATACCTTTGTACTGGCGTGAGTAGATATCCGTCAAGCGGGATTTCGATAAGGCCCCGCATCAGACGGCACGCCTCAAAGAATTTGCTGTAGTTATTGAACTGATTGAGTTCCTGCAGCGCTGCGCTTGCCATCGGGTGACTGTTGCAGTAATCCGAGTACATCCTGAAGCCGTCTTTGTGCTTTAAAAAGCAACTGCCCACGCAACTTTTGTACGGGGATTCCCAGTCTATGCAATCCTCTAAGTCTTTCAGAAATTCCGACTGAAAACTAAATGAGGGAAACGTTTAATTTTTTTTTGATTCATTGTATTTTGTCATTAAAAGTTTTAAATAGCTACGCAACATTTGTTGGAGGGTTTAAAACGTCCCATTATAAAGAAGGGAGCTAATTATAGTGGTAATTTCCTTTTATTAATAGTTTATTAGTTTAATATCCTTTTAGCTTTTTTTCATGAATTTATAGTATTTAAAAAGCATAAAACCAAATTTGCACCACTTGACTATTTTTATTGCAAATATTTACGCAAAAATACATTTTTTTAGTTTTTAGTGAATATCTTGGCCTCATACACTGCACAATAAAAAGTAAAAAATCTCATAATTTTTTATAAAATTTTCTATATTTTGTCTGTAAAAAAAATTAGTTTGTTCCCGGCTTTGCTTTTCGACAGCTGCTTGCTGCGCCGCATTAATTTGTACAGCACGAAATGACGTTGACCAGTGATGATGGGACGGTCCCTCCTAAGGTCGTCACAAGTTTTTAGCTTTACTTTTTCCCCAGCTATGCCTGAATCTGATAAAATAATTATGTTTAGCCGGTGATAGTGTGGGTGGCCAATTAGCAAGATTGGATTGAATTTTCACCATTTGTGCACGAGAATAGTTTTAGCCGGAAATGATCTAGCGTTGTTGTATTCCTTTCTCCTCCATATAGGGCAATGAAAATGTTTTCCATTATGGTTGTAACCTCTTAAACCGTTACAGCTTTTTAAATCAAAGAAACCTGGCTACAACAATATACCGTCAAAAAGGTAAAATAATTTCATTACGCTTTATAAAGAACAAAGTAACAAAAACTATCTAGATTATTTTTCTACAGAATCGGCGGCTGAACAACATTCTTTTTGAACATTTCATTTGATGCAGGCATGGTTGGCGAATGTTTTAGATTCAGAATGGGCTAAAGCTTAAGCCAATGATAACTTCTAATTTAGGAGAAACGAAACCATCATCACTTGTCGACATCATTTCGTACTGGTGTGCGAATCAATGATGCACAACGTGCATCTGTCGAAAAGCCGGGTTAAAATGTTTTGCAGTTTGAACATTTTCTTGCAGGAAAATAAGATTTAACTTTTAAACCATTGATTCTGACAAACCATGGTTTCTCTAACAAAATATAGCGAATCTGAAAAAGATTTACCACACGACCCTTTAATTTAAAAAAACCCAGTCAAACGATCTTAAACAGGAGATATAAATATAGTTTGAAGTGGATTAGACCTACAGGAAATACCGCAATAAAAAAACGAGCCTGAGACTCTTTCTCTAAAGTAGTGAGAAAAAGTGTTCATTGGGTGTACGAGCGCGGATTGGTCGGCTATCGTTAGTCGCATCTAGCTATATATTTTTTTGAAATTGTAGAATATTAAAAGAGGTACAAAATGTTAATCATAATAATTTATTATATAATACATATACCATTTGCGAAATAAGTGAAAAAAATAAAAGAAAAAAAATCATTTTAACTAACCACCTATATTTTTTTAATCATTTGTTTAAACAAAAAATACTTCAGACAAAAATTGTTGGAAATTTTATAAAAAATAATATGCTTTTTTACTTTTTATTGTACAATATACAGAGGCAGAGATATTAGCAAAAAAAATGTTTTTTGCGTATATCTTTGAAAGAAAAAATTGCATCCTTTAAAAATTATGACATTTTCTAATTTACTTAAAAATATTATTTCTTACCTTAGAATGTTTTCCAAGTTGATAAATATTGTTTCGATTTGTTCCGCGGTGAACATATCGCTTCGTTTGCGGCACTCCGAAATGTAACCGTCCGCCACATCGCGCAGCACTTTCACAAAATCCCGTTCGGTGTGCACTAATTCGCGCACTACGCTCGTGCGCACTTGATCGTTCGATAGCAACGATATGCTAGTGCGTCGACGCATCGAACTGGCAACAGGGCGACCGGACGCCATCGCCGCCAAACAGTCTTCAACAGTGTCCTCCTGACTCACTCTTAACCTAGAGAAAAATATATTTCTAAATTACGATCAAAAAGTTTGAAAGATAAAAAAGATACTAAGGGTAAAAAAATAAATATGTTCGCATTAAATCTGATGAATTTTGAAAGAAAACATTCCAAATTATAATGTGCGATAAAAAAAACTAGAAGAAACGCGTTATTTTTAAGTTAATTAGTATCTAACTATTGGAAATACGAAAAAAACTGTCAATCTGCCAAACGTTTTGCCAGGTTGTGATTTGCGTCACAGTCCCAAAAAAATTAATAATTATCACGGTATAAGTGTGTTTTCTCCTTACTTTGCCACTGTAATAACCGAAACGAAAAATCATGTAGTTGTTTTATTATTATACCTTACAGATTTATTAGTTTAATAATATTTAGTAAAAGTTATGGTGGTAATAATTTAAAATACTAACTAATATCTGATATGTTTTTCTTGATTAAAAACTGAAACGTTTCGGGTGTTACAACTTTTTCAATATGACGATATATGTGTGTGGCCCACTAGCGCCGCCATCGGAAAATAACGATTTTACCTTTTTAGGAATGTTTCTCTAAGAAAATTTGCTGAATTTCAAATAAATGTAAGAATGGTCAGGACATAAAGGCAGAATCGTGAAACACCCTAAACGCACGCTTTTTGACTTATAGTATTAGTTTGTATTGTTTCAAAATTTGTGATTAGTTTTTATTGTATCATGATCAGTACCTGACAAAGTGAGCGGGGAACCACCCAGACCGTCCGTTAGTGGATCCCCACCACCAGTCTCTGTTGGCAGTTTCCAGTACTTCTATCACGTCGCCCGCGGCGAAAACCAACTCTTCCGCTTCAATGGCAACGTGATCAAACACAGCCTCGGCCAACACGATCATTTCTTCGTCCATTGCCAATTCGAGCGATTTCTTTCGTTCGGTCAGCGATACGATCGATGATTCCGAATCGGACATGGTTTCGTCTTCCGACGTCGTGCCCATTCGCATATCTTGCTCGTCTTCGCTGTTTACACCAGCTCTTAATCCTGCAAAAATAACGAAAAATTGGTTAATTTAATTTAAGATAATAATTCTGTATTACAATATATTTTCCAATGTTTTATATTTACAAACTCTTAAGGAATGCAAATTTGCATATTTTTCCAGTGATTGTAATTTTTGTATTAATGAAATTTGAAATATTAAGCAGTTTAAATTTTTACAGGGTATCCCTAAAATGAGAACCTAGCAGGAGATTTCAAATTATTAAGAATTTAATTTAAAAAAACTCGGCAACTGATTTATAAAAAGGGTTGTTGTGAAAATAATGTTTATTTTTTAAATAAATAAACAACGCATTTGCAAAGAAAATGTACATGATTGACAAATGTATTTTCTAAACTTAGTGTCAAAATATTCCAAACTTTAAATTATCATAACTTTTTAATTTTCTTAGTAATTTCGTTTATAAACAGTTATTATTTATTAGTTTACTAAATGAGTTTTTGACAAAAACAACACGAAAAAAAATCAATGAATACGATTTGATAAATAAAAAAACAATTTTAGATCGAAATTGGTAAATTTATTTTGACGTGTGGACCGATTCGCAAATAGAACTTTTGCTCACGAATTGATGGCGGAAACCTTGTTATTGATGATTAGAATATAACCAGCGCTACAAAATGAATGTATTGGTTGGATAAACTTTTAGTTCTAGCAAATAACTTTGTTAATTAATATTAACAAATGTTAACTTTTTATTTTTAAACGTGTTTAGAAAATTGCTTTCAATCCTAAATAAATAATTTTAACATTAAAAATAAAATTTAATTTAAAGGCCTTCAGTATAACTCAAAAACTAATAATATTTTTTGTAATTTTTGTATACCTGTGTATAGCTTTAGCCATTTTCGAGTAATTTTTAAATTGTTACATTTTAAGGAATGTCAATTAATATAATAGTTTTTGTTTAAGGTTTTGGGTTTGAGTTTACCTATTAACTTACTTTACCTCCACATGGGACACTTAAATTATGATTTAAATATACCATAAAATGTTTTATATAATAACTATTTAATGTTAATTTCGCAAAAAAAACATTTCTCGAATATGGAACATTTGGAATTTGGAAAACTCCATAATTTTGTTATGTTATTATTTTTAAAATGGGTGTTTTATAGACTACAAGACAGGCACAACAATACTGTAGTGCTAATTAGCTTAAGCTAATATGTGTCTGCAATATTGCGTATAAAGATAATTTATATTGTTTTTAACAGTTAAAATCATCTTTTCTGTGGGTAAAAGGCATAAGGGGATAAGTCAAAAAAGCAATTTTTCGGTAAAGACTTAAACGTGTTCGCATTAATTCAGGAAATATATTTATGTTTAGCAGGTATACGCTTTTGTTAGCATATGACATTACCCACAGTTTTGTCCCTTATTACTTAATATTGTACATACGGGGGCTTAGCAGGGCAAAATAATGTATACACTTCCTACTAGACGGCGCAATGATTCAGTATTGCAAAAGTATCAAAAGTGTAGCGATCGACGACAGTACTGGCACATTTTGTGCTGTGTCACTTTTACAGCCGAGGTGCGATTTTATTAATTCTTGTCAGAACAAAGTGTCACAATAATTACGCGCTTGATCAATCACTCTGAAGAAAAATTAGTGGGGGATAGAAAAGGAAAATATACCTATTTTAATAAAAATAATCTTTAGTTAATATGTAAAAAAACCTTTTGCGGTGAAATTCACAGGAAGAGACACGTAATTTTAGCCAAACAAAGTAATTCGTTAGTACCAACACGTTAACCATTTTTATAATTTTATTACCCAAGCCAAAACACATTTATTTGTAAATTAGTTTGAAAACGAATATTTAAAATAATCTATGGAAAATCTGTGGGAAATAACACTTCTACACAAGTTTTATGTTCTATAAATTCTATTAAAAATTCGTTTGATGATCAGGTCGATGGCTTAGACATCGAATATTTCAGTATTTTTTATTTTGTAGAAATCTAAAAAAACAATTTTTAAAATTCATGTTTTAAATTTTGTGCTGCCAACTTAGCCAACACAAAAATATGACAGTTTTAAACCTTAATTTTGCCATTATAACAACAAATTAACAATTGAGGGGCCTAGAAGTAAAAGGGTTTAAGTGCATTTTTGTTAGTTCTGAGATAAATGGCTTTAAAGTTAACATGAATTTTAAAATTCTAGAAAAGAGTTTAAAAAACTGTGTGAATATTTTAGTTTTGTTTGAAGACTAAAAAGGATTATAAAGAAAAAGGAATTTTTCAATTTCGCTTTTTTGCAAAAAGGTACTTGAATCGTAATGCATGTAAGACAAAATTTAGTGGTAAAATGATTTAAATGCAATTACTGTAGTAGAACAAAACTTTATTTTTTTTAATTTGGGTAAGTTTTACAACAAAAAGTATTATTCATAAGAATCTAATACAACTTTTTCTTCATCTGAATTAGCTGGTCTTGGTTGGGGTTGATCTAAATTGGATTTTTTTTTGCTCAATGCTATGGTCTAAGTTTGTTTCTTTTTTTCCATTTTTTTCTGATGGATCTCCATCGTGCTCTATGTTTTTATAAAATAAGTGGTAAATTGGCGGAATATAGTCCAATAAGGTAAGTACATTTTTGTGCTTAGCGGCTTTGTTTTTTTTTTTTAGTTTTTGCTGGATTTACATGGCCTTCTTCTTCTACTTCTTCATTGATGTCAGGAACATAGTTACTATGTTGAATCCTCATCAGTCTGGACCGATGCCATAATCGTAACGCTGGCCGATGTCGTTCCGACCCCGGTCACAATATGTCGAAACGACCTAGGTACTTGTCAAAGCTTTAGCAGCATAGATAATAGCCTATGTTTAGCAGTAAAATGTGCACTTAAATCGTTTTACCAAAGATATATTTTAAAATATTTTGACAGGTTTTTAAAGACGATAAGAAATGGCGCCAGGGAATGTAAAATGTACTTATATAATTTTACCACTAAGCTACAATATTCTTTAGGTGTGATATTCTGCACTTAAACCATTTATTTAAAAAAGTGCACTTGAACCGTTTTACTTCCAAGCCCCTCAATTTATATTGTTACTTATTTACTTTTTATGTTGTTTATAGTAAGCGCCGGATTTAGAGGGGTGCAAAGGTACCTACTAACTGCACCCGGCGACAAATTTTAGGAGGCGGTAAATGAAATAAATAGCAGAAATAAAAAACAAGTATTATTTATAAGTAATTTGTTCCTTTTCTTAACTTAAAAATTTTTCTCTGGGGACTGTTTTTATTGTCACACTATTTTAAACTTTATTAAATGTCATTTTTTATCCCTTAACTTTTAAAATTAGGTAGGTACCTCCACGTACCTATATGGGGCAGCGATACTTAAATTGCACCCGGCGGTAAGTCAGGTAAGTCCGGACTGTTTAAAAATTATAATGATACTTAAATTTGCACTAAAGTATTAATGTGTTAATTTTAAATACCTAAAACGTTTTATTTTTACTACATTAATAATTACTAATTAGCACCGCTGAATTTGCTGTCACGGCCTACAGTTATGAATTTATTAAACTCTTCAAATGAAGATACTACTTTTAAATAGAATCACAAATCTAATCACAAAGTGTATAATTTCTTAAAGATATTACCGTTTTATACTTTTTAAATTTAATCATGTACCTAGTGTTTCGTTTACTCACCTAGCGCTTTGGGCCTGACGAGTGGCGACAGCTTGTCAATGTCGATCGGCTGGCTGAGCGACCTACGGAGATGTCCCCTGCGACACGGGTTGCGCAGCTGCACCTCCGGGGGCGAGGCTGTGGCGGATTGCGTAGGCGGCGGCTTCTTGGTCGGACTGTTGCCGCCCTGCCAGCTCCGAGGATGCGCAGGCGACGACATCATACGACGGTAGGATGCGCGCGGATCCCAATTGAGCAACCGCTGCCCACCCAGGTCCGATCGCGTTCTGCGCACGTGCTGGTGGATGTGGGCACGCTCCTTTAAATCGGCCTGGAATATAAAAGAAAGTTATTAGATAAGTTTCATTATTAACTAGGGGGTATTTAACCGTTAATTTAATTATTGCTTTTAAAGATACCACCTTTTTAATTGCATTATTATTATATTAATGTAAAATCAAGTATTGCATGTTGCAGGAAAACATTGTATTGACTTCTAGTAAACTAAAGGTAACAAGGACAATCTTTGCAACAGAGATTTTCAATTACAAACGTCATTTTTAGAAATTATTACAAAATTTGTAATACAAATACAATTTTAATTGTCAACGGTGTTAACCCAAAACATTGTGATTCTTGGCGTATTTTTAATTGTTAAAATTAGTTACCTAAATGGCAGTGACGGCTGGTGGATTTTGGGCACACCCATATCTCAGTTATTAGACATGGGACCCACATCAAATTTATATGAGTTTATAATGACATTATATAAACAAGTTCTGCGCAAGCAGAATTTAAATTAAAGTTTGCGACAAAAAGTTAGTTTTTAAGTGCAACCCCCAGCCTCCTGCCCCTCCAAATTAAGATCATTCAGATTAAAGTGGTACAATATTTAATTCACTGAAGTTTATCGACAAATTTCAAATTTTATTAAAAAAATTCAAGAATTACAGGTTTTATACCATTTATAATTTTTATTATTTCTTTTACTAAATTTAAAAAAAAGTTGAAATGGTATAAAATCTGTAATACTTGAATTTTTTTAATAAAATTTAAAATTTGTTGATAAACATCAGTGAATTAAATATTGTACCACTTTAATTTGAATTATCTTAATTTGGAGGGGCAGGAGGCTGGGGGTTGCACTTAAAAACTAACTTTTTTTCGCAAACTTTAATTTAAATTCTGCTTGCGTAGAACTTGTCTATATAATGTCATTATAAACTCATATAAATTTGATGTGGGTCCCATGTCTAATAACTGAGATATGGGTGTGCCAAAATCCACCAGCCGCCACTGCTAAATGGTCAACGGAAAAATTATTAAATTTACACTTTAGCGACTTTTCCGAAAAACGCTAAAAATAGGATGGAGCGGGGTCGGTTGGGTTGGGTTGTTGAGTTTGGGTTGGTTTGGGTTGGTTTCGCTCACTTTTGCCCATTTTAGTTGATTTACAGTAGATCAGCTGATAAACCAAAGCGCATGTGCGGTTATCGAAAGCCTTTGTGAAGCATGGTCTGTAGAGTCTACAGTGTAGACTCTAGTTGTGCTATAGGTACGGCTTTAATTATCAGCCCCTTTTTTTATTAATTACGCGATAATTATACAACTTTTTCATCCTGCGCCGATTGTTTATGCACTTTTACATCCCTCCACACCTATTTTTTGCATTTTGGCAACTTTCCTGCCGATTTTCGGAAAAGTCGCTTAAGTGAAAATTTACCGAAAAATTTTAAAGACGATTTGTTTTTTAGTTTTTAAAAAGACCAGAAGAACAACAGAAGTAAGTAAGAAGTTATTGATGTTTCGTCAATTTTTTTTACCAAAAAAATTGTAAACAAGGCCATGAAAACGAAAACAAAAATTAAACAGATTTTAGACAACTAGTTTATAATTGACGAATTTTCATGGTGTCTAGCGTAAGAGCCGGAGAAAATTCCAGTACATTCCCGTGCTATACTTATTTTTCTTAAAACGATATTTGGAAATAACCAGTTAAGGAAATAAAATAAACTGATGTTTAAAATTAAAGCACCACTTTTTTTAAGATCCATAAAATATAAATAAAATAGTCTAGAAAGATCTCCTTCGGATATTTTGCAGCCTAAAGATTGCTAAGCAAGATTCTTAAAGGGCCCCTTGTCAAAAAAATGATTTTAAAGATTTTTTAGAATACACACAGGTTACTCTTAAGCTCCAAAAAGCGTTAAAAAATGTATTAGAAAGGTCTACCAATATTTTCTGTCCTTTATAGTGTTTTACAACCACAAGTTTTCCCCTAGGTCCCCCGAAAACACTACCGGCAGCGTCCGACCGCAGTGACCTCTACCATTCATTACAGTATTCTGCGAATTAATGTGAACATTAGGAATTTCTATATTATTTTATCTTCGAACACTGCTGTGACAATTTTGACAGGTTTTTCTTGACATATCCCATAACCTATCATTCTGCATTAAATATCTGCTAATGTCAGTCATTTTGCCAGTTATTGCGACTAATTTACACTAGGACAAAAAGGTAACCTTTCTAGACTGGCCTGTAAACTCAACGGACATTAATGCTATTGAGAATTTATGGGCTATATGCAAGGACAGGTTGCTAAAAATGAATTCTACAACAAAAACTAATATGATTGAGGCTGTCATTCAGGTATGGTTTCAAGATGACAAAATCACAGATTATAAACGACAAACTATAGGAAAATTGTAAAACATTGATAAATTCTATGCCAAAACGAGTTAAAGCTTTAATAAAGGCCAAAAGGGGGACATATTTCCTAATAAATAAAACTAAAATATTTATAAACTAATACTGTTTGTATTTTTTATTTCAATAAATAATATTTAACGTAAATCTATTTGTGTTCACATTAATTCGCACAATACTAATAAATAAATCTTGTTTTTAATTGAGGAAAGTTGAAGATTTTGTTATCTCAGAAAATTTTGAGGATTTGGTGTAATAGATTTACGTTTTTTTCCTGTATCTGTGGAAACAATTATTTTTGGGTTTAATCAATGAATATTTTAACGGAGCTTGCAAACATTTCCTCCAATCTCGCAGGAATAACATAACTTCTTTGGTAAAAGATGTAATGCATGTTTAAACCGGGCTTTCCAATCCGTTTCATGATTTCTTAAAGAATTCCGTGCAAAGACGCGTTGAAAAACAATGCAAGAGAATTATCACATTGAAACTCGTCAAGATATAGATGGGGTTCATGAGAAAATATACTTTAAAAAAGAATGAGCTTGAATATGATCATCTTTCAAACATTTTTCGACGATTTTAGAACTTTTATGAGTGGGTTTATCATGTACCTCATTATGTATTTAATTATTCCAGTACAATAACCAATTTCCCGTACATATAAAATGTTTTTAAATATAAAAAGCCATTTTGTTTTTAAATACTTACTTTAAGTACACACATATACGTATATTTCCTTGTTTAAAAAAAATAGGTAGGTACATACCTAACACAAATCTCTTACTTTGTTAATTCCTACTAAGGTATTTCTATTATTAGATCTATAGGTTATTGTTTTCTGGTAAATATAGCAACAATTAATTTCGTAAAATGATGTCGGACTAAGCCGGGGACACCACGTCTAACCAAAATGCATTGGCATTAAAATTATATGCAACCGAAATCCACATGTCGTGTAGTGGGCAGTGTTGGCGAAATACGAATTTGATCCTGCAAACTTATTAATTACTAGGTGTAATCAGCTCCTAAATATTATAATCGATCTCCGATTAGGTGTCAGTTGGCCATTATTTCCAATACAAATGAACTCCGGTTTACGCTAAATTTCATAATTATGCCATAAGCCTCACATACCTATAGGTATACCTACTGGTTGGTTAATGAATATATTTTTAATTACATAAATGTCAGAGGTTAAGAACTATATTTAGACTTGGAATAAAGAATAATTTAAAATGAAATTTTAATATTAAATTAAATATAAGAGTATATTTAATCTTTAATAATTATTAAAGATCTCTTAATTTAATACTGAAATTTCATTTTAAATTTCGAGGGTTTTAATACGATATAAAACAATATATGTTTGATGTTCGAATGTTTGAATTAGTGTACAATATGTGTAGAAAAACCTTGTCTAATAAATTAAATTAAAAATATTTTTATTTCTTAGTATTTCTTGAAATTTATTTAATACAAACCCACTAAGCAAAATACTGTTGGGCGAACGTTGCAGCGATGTTAACAGTAACGCTGTAACGTTAACTGGGGGGTAACATTAACGCCACTTAAACATTACAACAACGGTTAATGTCCGCCTCATGAACGTTTCAATGTTACATTGCAACGTCAACGTTGAAACAACGTTAAACCGTGCCGTACAGGTGCTATTAACTGATGCGTTAGCGTAACGTTAAAGTTAAACGTTAATTTACTGTTTTTAAATGAACGTTAATAAAACGTTGAAATTAATTGTTTTATTAACGCAGCTCTGGATGCCAATTCTTGGCGGGAAAGACAAACAAAGATATAGATTTAAAAAGAACTTGTTATTTTTACTTCTTTCGACAATCTTCTTTTATAATTTTTTCAAAACCCATTGATGGCCTTGACGAAACCACTCTATAGCAGATTCTTCAGGATAGCTAAGTTCAACACCAACTGCAAAAAAAATTTAGCTTAAGCTGACAAGAACGATAATTTTAGATCCATGACTCTAAAATAATTGTTCTTGCGGACATATTGACATTTTTAATTTTAGTTTAGATTTGTTTATTTCTGTTAACTTAAATATTTCTGAATTAATACTTCAACAAAGCTATTGACGCAAAAGGCGCCACGAGGTATATACCTAACAGAAATAAACAAATCTAAATTAAAATTAAAAATGTCAATATGTCCTGTATATACCTCGTATATATACAAATATACAAGTTGTATTATACAACTGAACAGCTCCCACCTGTCGCCCTCGACTCAGCGATTTTGACCAAACTTGGAACATTCCAAGTTTGGTCAAAATCGCTGATGTCGAGGGCGATAGGTGGCAGCTGGTACCAACCTAGGTTTGGCGCATTTACATATATTTACGAGGTTGCTCCTGACAAACCTAACCTAGAATAGTAAATCTTTTTGAAAATAGTGCATTGTCAGGCGTTCGTAACCATTGACAGAAGTATAGATGTGTTAAATCGCAATCTTAATTTTGCTAATAAACGCGTCGGACGCAGTGAAATAAAAATAATGCCAAATATATTGGCATGCGCAATGCAGGCGTGTTGGTGTTTTTATACCAATATTGGAATAAAAACAACAACATACCTGCATTGCGCATGCTTA